TGATTTTTTTCAGTGTCTGTGTGACCTCGTGTCTGACACATTCATATGCAAATGACTAATCTGTGAAACAAACAGGGGCGGAGACAACCCACTCCAATGTTTGGAAACACTCATTGTGTGTCAGATAGCTACTGATAACGCATCCTAACATTGCTTTGTCTTGAGTTTATCTTTGAAATTTATAGGCACACAGATTAAACCTGTATTGTTGATTTTGGAAAACACTACTGAGGCTGCCTTGCTACCCTTCAGAAAATATACATTTTAACCAACTTACATGACATTCTATGTTATGTTGACTTTATATGAAAGTTTATAGTGCATTTCATCAATTAATAAATAAATGTGAAAATCGTAATTTTCAACACAAATAATAGTCTCGCTACCTTAATCAGTCTACTGATTGGCTAATTGATTTATAGAATTATAAACAACTGATTTACATGTTGGCTGTGTTTATATAAACCATAGACCCTGTTTTCTAAGTTCTATATATGAACCATGGAGCTTCCTGTGTATATGTCTAGTCATGAAATCTGAATATAATATGGATATGCAAATACACATTCATCATACTTTAGCTGTTTGCCTGAATAATAATATTGAGTCACGTTGATTTAAAATTATATAATTGTTATACTCGCTGTATTGACACTTGACCACTGTAGGTCTAACTATGCTCGTACGTGTGGATGTATAATGGATTTGATGTCACTCGTGTGTGGCGTAATGGAATAATACTAACCTAATGGAGTATGTTTTTGTTTGATTTTAATCATTTGACATAGATAGCAAAACAAGTTAATATTTAACATTTTCATGACTATATTTCTATTGCAAATATTTATCAATATTGTCTCTTGTGTGTTTCCATTATAAAATATGTACCAGGTAACAGAAATTAGTAGTTGAAGGATTATATACAAATGCATACAAATCAGATATGGAATTTCAACTGCAGTATTTACATGTATACATACATATAGGCATTAAACTGTATTTGAATTGAATTTTCCTGTAATAGCTTACTGTATTTCAAAAGCGTTTGTAAATAAAACTAATACCCTATAGTATAAAAAATGGACACTACTTTTGTACATTGCAATCAGAACAAAAAGAATCTAAAATACAAAAAAATAATCGAATTCCAGGATTTTGAATGCAAGTAAAGTATTTCTGTCTGCTCAAAATTTACTTTTACTAATTGACAGTGGCATCAATTGGTCCGAAACATTGTGGCTATACATTGTGTTTCATAACAAAACACTTAATTTTATCTTCAAATTAATCTCTAACAGTTCCTGTTCTGACCTTTTTATTGATTAAGCCACTTGGTAAAATATTATATCATTATTTTCTAGATACCAGTCAGCAAATCTGATTTGGATTTGGATAACATACCACTGGTGAGAGCACTTTTAAATTCTATATTTGTTTAGCTTTCTATTATATTGTTTACACAACAGAATTTTATTGGAGCCCAATAGCTTGTGCCAGCAAAAATGATCATGTAATTGCATTCACACTTTCAGCTCAAGCTGAATTTGACTCCGATAAATTCTTGGGGTAGAACTCGGATAAGACTGAGCTGGCCCCAGCTTTCTAAACAAGAAATTTCCATTCAAGAGCACTATTCCAGCTTAGGCCTAATGAAACTGACAAACTTTGGACCATGCTCTGCCACAACTGTATAAATACACAAGGGCTAATGTCTTTTTGATTGGTGGGAGGAGCAAAATACTGTTGTGTAAGGCTAGTGCATGCCTCAATATATTGCCTCTGCTGTATGATTTATTCATGATAGAAAGCCTCTGTGTCTAGTGACTTGTTTCACTAAGTATGTATGAGTCACTACTGATAAATTCAGAGTCAGTCTACATCTTTGCCTGAATATTAGATTAACACTAGATGACTAGCTTTGATAAATTCAATTTCTGTCTGTTTAGTTAGCATTTTAATGACCATATTCCTTCAAGACAAATCTCTTATTGAGGTCCAACATCCCATTCAATATTTCTATTCTAATAATAAACAGACACAAACAACAGGTTCCCTGATTGGCTAGTTAGATAGTTGTGAGAGTTGGATTGCCAATGATGACACTGACTAAGCTACTCTGAAGTGATGGTGGATGTACTTAACATATCTTTCCTCCTCACGCCCTGAATTGTTTTTACTGCAGCCTTTGACGGAGATGCCCAAGACCACAAGTACACCATACTTGGATGGTGAAAGATGTTTGTTGTGTCGATGTGTGAGACAAGATCCATCATCTCCCAGTAAAATAGCACAAGAATCTAACAATACCATGCAACAGACATCCTCTTTTGCTACCAGTGCAGCTCATACTATCTCTCAGGTAAATACATTTTATTATCACTGCTTTAGTTTTGTTGATTATTAAATTGTTCTTAAAATTGAATGTTCTTGAACTTATTGTAAAATTCTAAGTAGGCATGATTGTTATTAGATTGGATAGTTTTGCATATTTGTAACCTCGTATTATATTGTAGCTTCCATTATGGGTATGCCCTGAATGTCGTCGTACTGTTGAAGAAGAAGAAAAGAAAGCAGCATTAGAACCATCATTACTGGTGAGTTATCACCTCATCTTGTGAATTGAGATAAAAATGAGTATCTTGACAAGTAAACTAGTACTACTGTATTATGAATAGTACTTAGGACAACAAATTCCAAATATCGCTTGCTATATCATGCTAATGTAATTAGCAACTACCATCAAACAGGCATAGGCAGTTTGAGCCAGAGGTATGTTTGAGGTTTGAAAGTTTTATAGCTCCAATGTGCATGGGCCAGATTGATATCAGAATTGTATCATTCTTTTGTCCTAACACATTCAATATACCTTAAAATAGTACAAAAACCAAATCTAATACTGAGCTGTCTTAACTTTGCTGGAGGGTGTAATACCTGTGTCACCTTTATTCAAATTTTTCAAGTGACTATTTAGTCCCATAAATATAATAATTTGATCAATCTGTCATGTTCCCAGACTCCAGATTTGTTGCTTCAACCAACTCTTCCGTTAATGAGTTCAGTTCAAGACATGGAAACAGCATTAGATAGTTCGTTAAATGTTGACCTACCACCACCCGCTCCAACTGCTTCCGTTTGCAACTGTGAAGCCTGCACTGAACGCAGACAGTTAGAGGCAGAACATGAAAATGAAACTCAACAATTACAGTCATACTGGATGGAACTACGACATGCTGTCAGATGTGTTTATAGAGAAGCTGGCACTGCATTGGAAGGTAATATCTTTACCTCTTTCTATAACTATTTTTCCTACCCACTACATTTACTTTAGTCTGTATTGTCATTTCACACTGCTAGCACATCAAGAGAGTTTTTGTACTCACAAAGTTGCATCTTGAGAAAGAGTTATCGGGATAGTGCGAGTTGTAAATAGCATTCAGAAGACATGTGAGAATTTAGAAATAATGGGAAGAATACTGTCTATTAGAAATAGATGTGCTTACGTAATCTACCAGTTAAAAGTCAGTATAGGTAGATTAGTTTGGTGAAAATATCATCAGAACAAGTGTGGCCTCTAACAAGACTGATTTAGTAGGAATCGCAAGTCAAAATGGAATTCTCCAAAAGCCAGTTGAATCAGCTTCTTGACTGTTATGGTGGTTGGTTACCAATAAAAAAAATGGGATTGCTCTTTTTGCAAATATATTATCTGTTCAAGCTCTGTATTTTTGGTTTCTTGTCACCTCTGTAAGTATTGTTATTGTATTTTAGGTGAAGATTCCAACACTAAGCTGGACACTGAGAGATTGAATGAATTAGTGCATAGATTATGCAGCAGGGATGCACATCAACTCTTTCAACGCCTGGAATCCCAGGGAAGAGAATACGTCATAGAAATGAAAGTCAGGTTATTAAAACAATTATCATCGGGTCATAAAACTCCTCAGCAAGCCAAACAGTTTATTAGTATGGTATTAGAGGAATATACTGCCTTATGTTCTGCTGCTTCAACGTTGGCCGCAATACTTAATGAGTTGGTGAGTCACCCTTGTTTTAATTTCTTTTTGAAGCATTCTTCTTTACCAATTGTTATTTAACAACTTGTGTCATCCATGCACATGACCATTTCCTGGTCTGGTTTCTCGGGAACCATTGATATGTGTTAGTTAGCACACAACACTGGGCCAGACATGTGTTACCGGTACTTTATTTGTGTGAATATCATTCGCATTTAATTACAGTTTTGCGACCTTCCCCCTAAATTTTGATGCACAACACCCTGACAAGTGGGTAGTACTGGTTGGCCAAAGCTTGGTCATGTCTAAATATAATAGCAAATACAGCGCATGGTAAATACTATGTTAATCAAACATGTGCGGGATTCATAACTTAGACTGACCAGATATATGGCATCAAATTGAAAAATAAAACAATGATGCTAATTACAAAATTTATCCTATGCTGGGACCATAAAGTCTTCATACATGTACAAATCCAAGTCATTGTTATGTCACAGTAAACTTGAAACAGCTTACTATGTTCACTTTACTTTACTCACATTTCATCTGTTCGCTACACACAGGAAGAAGAGCATCTTAAGAAGTTCAATCTGACGTGGGAGTTGCACAATAAACATTTATTTCAGAGTATTGTGTATACTGATCCACTTATACAAAATAGTTTACCCAATCTGATTAAACAATTGAGGCTTGGGGCAGCTTCAAGGGAGTCTTATCATCAGGATACCTATCCTAATTTGTTACACAGGTATGTATTTATCTATCGTTTTAGTTTGCCAAAGGTTATCAGAAGACTGTTTGCATGTCATTTAGTAGGGTGTTTGTAACACTGAAATTATAAACATAGCAATGCAGTAACTTTTGTATTTCAATTATTGAAACAACAGGGTCAGTGAGCACAGTGTTCTCCCCAGGCTCAGAGGCAAGCATGACGGTCTAATTTGCATGCTAATTTGCATACTAATTTGCATATTTTTCAGGATTCACTCTCACAAAAACAAACATACAAGACAGTATTAGAATGTATGGGAGACTTTATTTAAATTACATAATACTTTACATAATATACCATAATTTGACAAGATCGTCATTTAATGTGAACTGTTCCATAAAACTTAGTCTAAACTAATCCTCCTTGACTCCAAACATTGGCTGCCTTACTGTAGTTAAACTCTTCATAGACGAGCACGGGACTTTGTTCCATAAAGAAGATCCACTCTTTGCAATCATGTTGTGCTTTGAGCATAAACTGCACAACATTCCTAATGGGAAAAAATGAAAAATAATAAAAAAACAACAATGAGGATTGAAGTTCAAATAAATGTAAACATAACGATTGAATTGTGCCACGATCGGGAACCCAGTGCCGTATGGATAGCATTTCGTCTGCAAAACATGTTTACATGTTGGTTTTGTCAGGTCAACGACAAGGAGACTCGGGAATTTCAAGGAAAAAAAACATGAGGTCACTATTCAATTAAAATTAAAACGTAACGATAGAATTATGTATACAAATCGGGATTCCATTGATCATAGCTCGTGGTGACGATAGCAGCTGTCGTTCGCAAGACGTTGACAGGCTGCCATCTTGGAAATACCTACACAGGTCAACATGTGACCGGAAGATTACAAAAATTCGATTTTTTTTTTTTGCTTGGACAAATTATAACATGCGTGTACCCATTAATCTATGAAGATATCCATAAATAATCCAAAAAAGTTGACAGTAACGAGTGATGTTTTTTTTTTCATGTCGTGTCTATACCCGCCTCCTGTCTAAGATGTTGATTGAAATCGGTGTAGGCCTACCATGTTCGGTGTTCTTACGATCGGCAAAACATATACACACTGGCATTTTATTTCTAAAATTACGAAATCTTACCTGAACAATCTGAAGTTGACCTTAACCAGGGAAATGTCTTCTTCCACGACTCATCAAAACCAGCCTCATGTCGTTTCTGTGTTTCTACACGCTTCCGTTTCTGTGCTGTGCTAGCGATGATTGTACGTTTTAGCCGGGCGGCATAATTAATCTTTCTTTCCTTTACATTTTTTTGTCATATAGCATCTCATTGTTTGCAACTTGAGTGACAATTTGTTCCCCATTGACAGCGTCTGTACTTCACACGTGTTTAACAATGGGACTGTTTAATTTGTCCCGGCAAGTTTAAACCGCCGTGGCGTTGACGGTGATAATTTATGCAGCGCTACGTGTGAGCGGTTCAAATGGATGTAAACAATGCATCTTATTAGCATGGCGGTGAAGTTGTAAGCATGGCGGTCCGAGCCCAAGCGTGGCGGCCGGGTCGCCAAGCATGGCGGTGCCGCCATGCTTTGTTCTATGTGGGGAGAGCACTGGAGCATTAGTTTTTGGAGAATTGGTTGAAGTGCAGCTTATTCCCTCAATACCCTGGTGGACAGAATAGATATTTTGAAGGATAACATGTAGTCCAACTATGAATTTTATTGCATGTGACAAGTGTGATATACTGTATTTGTTTAATTCCCAGTAGAAGCACATGCAAGCCAACAGTTGCATTTATTGTGTACTGAATTTTTTAAAAAGGAATTATTATGATTAACAAACCTCTATGTACCTAAGATTATGTGTTAGTATGCACTATTATTCACTACTAGTAGAGTAAATTTGGTATTGTGAATTTATCAAAATATTTTCTCAAGGATAACCTCCATCTCCCCCATGACTTGCGATACCCCCTTTCCCCTAATCTAAGTAATTCTTCTTGCCAGCAATATTATGATTAAAAGAAACAACTGGTACAATTAGTGGTTTTATCTTTGGTAATAAAGTTTTATTAAAATATTTTATACCAAGGTCAATCTCTTTATCATGTGGTATCTATTTTTACCTGACCTTTACCTATGGTGACAATGACTAAGACCTTCATGTTCAAGTACAACTTAGTCTGTTCAATGGACATAAAATATAGTAAGCGTCATACTAACTCAATATCATTGCTTGTATAAGCTTAGTCACCAAGTTTTCAGTTGATAGTTAAAATATTGAAGAAAAAGCTTCAAGAACCAATAAACATGATGTATACAAATATAATATATTCAAAATGTTGGCAGATAATCATAGTCCTCGGTACTAATTCAATATAACCAAGCATCTCAAGCAATGTACCTTTAGTAGATAATCTGAATTGAGTAAGAGATTAAAAACAACTATAAAACAAGCGTAACATGTAGATCACATCATACCTGAATTTTATCTGGTTACATTGTTACCAAGGACTTTGATTACCTGCTATCATTGCCTATAATTTTGTTTATAGATGTTAATAATTTAATGACTGCATATAACTGTATCCAAATAATCACTGATATGTGTTATATTTTTATTTACCATAGGCATTTAAAATTTGATGATGAAATGTCGGTGTTATCAGTGGTCTGGAGAGATTGTCAACAGTTACTAGAAATATACATCGATGAACAGGTACAATGAAAAAATGCTATGCATACAGTGAAATTTGTCTAAACTGGACACCAAACTGAGAAAGTTTTACTGTGAAAGTATATAATCTAGTACCGGTATTTGTTAGGAAAGACTTATTGTATACCATGCATGACACCATCTCACAATTAATAACAATGACAGCTATTTACACATTTGTTACTGTTTTTGGACTGAATTCCAATTTACTGGAATGCCTAGAGACAAATTTTCTTAAATTTTGTAGCAGTGAAAATTCACTGGGCTTCTTTAAAGAACACCAGATTGTTAACCCTGGTTTATTAATGGTGTACCTATATTTTCAGTTTACTGTAAAATACTTTATTTTAGCTGGAATTTATTTTCATTGATTATTGACAAGTTGAATGTAAAATATAGAAAAAAAGGTATATTCGCTGGATTTTATTTTCACTGAATCATTCCTTCAGCGAAAATTAATTCCAAGCGAAAATAAAGTATTCTACAGTATCTATCAGTGCTGTAAAATTTATTGTCACGTATATCCACTAAAAGCTGATGATAAATAATTGATTGGAATGGACCTTTAAACAGTCAAACTGGTGATTGTGAAATTAGTTAGTGCAAAATTATGAATCATGAACAAATCTGAATTGGAACTGGTTACAGTATATCAAAACAGATGGGGCTCATCACTGTTCTTTTCCTTATAGGCAACATTGAAAGCAAAACAGAGAATGTTAAAAGAGGACTGGGAATTTTTCAAGGCTCAGAGAAGAGCGTTGGAATCGCAGGTTGGCAAAAAAGTCAAAAGTGGCAAACCAGCTATTTGTCCAGACTTCAGCTCTCTCTGGGGTCAATTGCTGGATGGCGAAAAACCTTCTGAAAATGAATTGCATTGTACAACATGTAAAAGAAAAAGGTTAGATAAAATAACTTCATAAATCCATCAGGGACAACTAGAGTGAGATATTGTGCTATTACATGATCTTGGGATTAAATGATTGTGTGCATTTAAGTGGCAACTTTGTCATGTGAAAATTCAGAGGAATTTGCAACAGACATTAAATGAAATAAAATTTAAAACCAAGCATTTCCTGAAATGAGAATGTCCAACTAACCCAAGGACTCGTTCATTACTTTGTTTATTCTGACATGACTGTAGACAAGTCTTTCAGTTCCCTGGTTGCTGTATGTTTGTGTGTGAGAACGTTTCCCCCTGGTATTTCACAAGATGAATAGACATCACTTCGACATATCTTACTGTGTGTATGTTTAAGAACCAAATATTCTAAAGGAGTCTGGATACCTGTATTCCAAAATGAACGGTTCAGTACAAAACTGAAGCTCATATAGTAAAATATCTGTCTAAAACGGCATATTCCAGATGACTGTAAGTGAATCAAACCCTTAATCCATTTTGTGATGACAAAGTACTACTTACACCATAGGCAAGGTTTATATCACTTTGAATTTGAATCAACTATGTGCTAACTTCAGTGCACACAAGATCAACCTGTGAACAGAAGACAATAACAGTAGAAAATACGCATTCTCAGTTTTAAGTGTTCTTTTAAATAACATCCATTATTCTTACTGATTTTGTTTTATTCTAAATTTCTTTTTCAGATGTCCTTGCGATCAATGCAGTATATCTCATATGATTACATGTGGTCTTATAAATCCTGATCTTTGCAATGATCTCGGAAGCAGTATACACGATGATGTTCATCACCATAATACTACATCACATCACAATTCAAAAGATATCTCTCATATTACATCACTAGACGCGCTACATCATCTCACAATAAACCCTCCTGATTTATCATCTGCAACATCATCAGAATGTTCATCACCAACAGGCTCAGGGGATGTCATTCCTATCTTTTCAAGAAATGATCTCACAACGCCTGGGTAAGTTTTTGGTGCTGTTATTGATTCATTGTAATACATAGCAATTATGGAACCAGAATGCAGTCGATGGATGGTACAGTGAATATGCTTTGACGTCATACTGTAAAGATGCAGCATAATGCATGTACCTATATGGAGCACTATTAATTAAGGCTTCGTTCTTGTTTGTATTTCCACATGTTTCCCTCTGTTCAACCATGTTTTGAACCTATCTAGGCTGATTCCATTCAACCTTGGTACAAAGGTCATACACATAATTACTCAAAGTTGACATATTCTGCACCACTCAAATTTCACTCCATACGAAAATATTTAAGTACTAATGCCACCAATAGGGTAGTTGTGGCTCTATTTTTGTCTTAATGATGTGTTTACTTTCTCGTCAAAATGCAACTCAATAATTTAAATCACTCAGTATTACATTGTTCTTTCTTGCAGGTTAAATTCACCAATCAGTCATCAATCTGATTTTGACCAGAAAGGTGATGATGAACCTGAACCTTTAGACTCAGATGACACTTCAGCATCATCAAATTCCCGTCATGCATGTGTTAAGCCATCACAGAATGAGGTAAATCATGATTTCCATGATAGTGGAAATGATGATTATGATGAAGATGATGACGACGATGAAGATGATGATGAGGACGAGGATGATGATGAGGATGATGATGACGACGACGACGAGGAAGATGATGACGACGAGGATGAAGATGAAGAAGAAGATTGCGAATGCGAGTCTTGTAGCAGAAATGATAAATCAGAGCAGAGAAGCAGTGTTACAGTAAGTGATTCTTGTTAACAAATCAAACATTTAATCTATTCTGAAGTTAGAATTTTAATGTCCCTGCATTCAGAATATATCCATCCTCGTATACTGTGAATTGTTCGCTACTAGGTGATGTCAAATCTTGTTTGATTTGCAAAATAATTATTGGAGATACACTTATAAAGAGAAATTACAGTATTCCTGTTATTATAATTAGCGATTCTCCCTATACCAGTGCTTCAGTATTTTCATTATGTTTTTTGTGTGACTTTACAGGAAACGGGTACAGTTGAGACCAAAAATGAATCGTGTGAATGTCATGCATGTGCCAAGGAATTGGACAAGAAACTTGGAGGATCTATTCCTAAACCAGCTTCCTATTATTTATATCCTCATTTGCATAATACTATAACTCCAAGCCAGCAGAGTAATAGTTCAATCCATTCATTGATCCATCCACACTTGTATTCATCTACATCACCTAAACTTGGTAGAGCCGCCACTATCAATTTGTCTGCGCTCAGTATGGATATAAACTCCCAAGAAGCACTACATGAACATATTTATCATGCGTACGGAGAGTGGGATAATGCTTATGAAAGTGCCAAGGTTATGCTTAACTCGCGCAAGTTTGGTGTAACTGGAAATGAAGCAGAGAGTCAGTTCACACAGCCAACGACGACTACCACATCCACGGAGACCACCAGCAGCAGTGACACCACACAAACCTCAACTATAGCGAATGGGCATGAAGAGACTGGTAAAGTTCCAACAATGCAGACTAAACATCGCCATCATCATCATCATCATCACCACCATCATCGCCGAGTGAATCGGGAGAAGCAATGCACCGAAGAGTCAAGTCAGGATAACCAGTCAAAAGATGGAAGCGGTTTGCATGTTGATTACTGTGTCAGGCATAATCAGTTTACTCACACCTTACATTCTCATCAGCATGATAGACTACCTAATAAACTAACGCCTGAATTGCTACGACAAGCTGCAATTAACCATGCCAAAGAAGAGGCAGCAAGGGCTATTGGCAATCCTTCCATTGGTAAGCAGTTGTTTATACTTTTTATGTTCATGTTATATGGATAACTTCAAAAATGTACTTTTTCCTCTTGATCAGAATGTTGTCTCAATGTCCAGAACATGCTAACTTATGAGAGTTTCTATTTAACTTGACAGCGCTTCAAATCATAAAAATATTTTAATTCTGATGATCAAACAGTTGTGGAATGATTTCTGCAATTAATGTAGAATACTTTATTTTCGCTTGGAATTTATTTTCGCTAATTTCGTTGAAGGGATGATTCCTTGAAAATAAAATCCAGCGAATATACTTTTTTCCTATATTTCACATTAAACTAATCAAAAATCAGTGAAAATAAATTCCATACAAAATGCCCAAAAAGCCTTTTCAGTGAAAATAAAGTATTCCACGGTATTTGAGACATCATATCTTCCACATTTAACTGAACAATGCCTTGAAGGTGTTCCATACCAGATACTATACGATTCAAAGTGTTGTCTAAGTACTTGTAACTGCTTCTAAGACTCACAGGGTCTGTGTAATGCTATTATGACACAGGTATGAGTGAAATTTGCTTCTTAGCACTATTCATGACATACCGTAAAATTTGTATTAGAAGCCGCATCCCTAAAAGAAGTCGCACCCATTCGTTTTGAATAATTGAGACCCAAAAATTCGCCATTTCTCATATGTGTAGATGCTCTAATAGAAGCCGCATCCCCTCTGTTGCATTGTACCATTTTAATAGAAGCCGCGGCTTCTAATACAAATTTTACAGTAATAGTTTACATGTTTTGTCACTGTAGGTGTTCCGTCAAGTTGTATACATGGTCAATGCAAACAATCGAATAGATCCACTCCAGGAATCATTGATCCTATCACTGGGTTGTGTACAACAACATCAAACATGTCAAGGTAAGTAATTCTTTGTATGTCAGCCATACTTTACAGCAATTCTCTCACTGTGAGTGGCGCTGTGCCTTCTAACAGAACTGATGTTGTATGGATGGAATGGAATCAAATGGAATGGAATCACCCAAAATCAAGAGTCAGTTTGTTAGTAGTCAAACCTGTGTTAACTGCTACCTGTATAGATTGGCTGCCTGTCTATAGTGACCATAATCGAATAGTCCCGACTAAATTCATATGTAAAAGTTTGGATCAAGCATATGTTTAAGGATAATAATTTGAATGGACACAAGCCATAAAGTGTGAAAGACTGAATTTGTTGGCACTCTAATGCCAATGTCTCGATACGATTTAAGCCTTGCTGATGCACTATGGTATTTGTGTGCTGCGCGGCCACTGGAACAGGGTCAAATAGTCTTTTTGCTTCAACTTAGTTTTTAGGCTTTTTTTCGTACTGTTCCAGTACATACAATAATGGATGATTGCAGCAAAGCTGTTCAACAGACTCCAAATTTTCAGTAATGGTTTTCAATTGTTTGACTGTCGCCATATGTGGAAGCAGACCCCAGCTTTCAATACGTATTTTGATATACTGAATTGGTCAACATGGGTGGACCACTTCATAATTGGTATTTTGGAGAAATTTGCAAAACAAAAAAATTTATTAAACGTTTTTTAAGAAAATGGATCTGAAAAAATAAGTAAAGTAAGTAATAAGTAAAGAACACTAAACAATTTTCTTTTGTATCTTTCACACAACTGAATATGATTGTAGTTAATATTTGTTATGGAACAAAAAATATAACTATCTTGTTCATATGCATTATACTCAAATGAAAGTACCAGTAACTATCAGACAGCTGTGTTTGGAAAAAAAAACATTTATGCAACAAGAAATTGGTCACACAGAAACCTTGCTACAATGTCCTAAAATTGTATAAGTCCTTTCAGGAATTTATTATTTACGTTTAGTTGCCCTATTTTACAACAATTTATGTTTGTATATGTCTAATCTGTTTTCGAAAATGAGGCGCTACACTGAACTTTAAGCATTTGGTGCGCTTTGGGGCTCCTCTGATACCATGTCAGAAACCGCTGGTTTGATTTTGATTTCCTCCTCAAAGTGTGAGCAGTTTGAAAGATGTACATTGCATATTCACATATCTGTAAAGACCACTATCAATTTCAATTTTTATTTGCACAGTGATGCGGAAAGTGTTGGTAATCGTTCCTATGACATTGAAGACGTGGATGATAGTTGTTCTGAGAAAAGTAATTGCACATCGAGTACATCGGGTAAAGAAAAAGATGGAAAATTCTGTGATTGTTGTTACTGTGAATTCTTCGGACATGGAGGTCCTCCTGTAGCACCAACTAGCAAGAACTATACTGAAATACGCGATAAACTACGACTTAGATTAAAACAACGAAAAGTGAGTGTGCTTTTAAATGTGTTTGTCATACAAGCATCACTTCAGTGTCTTTATTGTCGCTGTCCAATGTGATACATCTGATTTTGTTAGTTCCCATCAGTCATAGTTGAAATTTATCTCTGGTTTACTTCAATTGGCTGATTACATGGATTCACGCAATGCGAGGTAAAAAAAAAAATACAACATGCAATCAGATTCGGCCACAACCTACTACAATATGTATATCCACCCACAAACTTGGATGAATAAACTATCTTAGATAAGAAACTGAAACTCTACTGACATCTTTAAGTCACCTTTTGTTTGTAATGGACCAGGCATGGTTCCAATTTGAGAATACATAACCTTACAATAATCACTATCGGTATGTTGTTTCTAGCAACCCAAAGAAGTATCACCAGCTCCAGGCAATGAGAGAGAAAGTCATAGTTTGCTGAGAGATAGTAGAGAGGTTGATGAACTTTTAAGTTTTATTAATGGTGCCACTCAAAAGAAGGTTCAGATGGCAAACCATCAACCGGTTAGTGCTAAAGCTGCTAAACGATTGAGACAGAAACAAAGGAGGGTAAGTAACACTTTGACAATAAATTCTACAAATCTATCAATGTTTTCTGATATCAATATAGTTGTCAGCAACAGCAACAGTCTGGGCTCCTGCTAACTTTGGGTTTGCTACAGTTTCTGTGACTTTTCCCTCCAATTACCAACAGAAATTTCAAAGCATCATTTAAAAGCATATAATCACCTTCAAAAGTTTAAGTGAGTGTTTACCACACTTTAAATAGTTGAAAAAGACAAAGTTCTATTTCTTTGCATATACAGATAGAGGCAAGAGAAAGGAGGCTAGAAGAAGAAAAAGAGAAAATGAGAGAAGCTGAACAACTGGAACAGGAACAAAAAGAAAATAGAGAGAAATCATTGCAAACTGAGAAAGCTGAACATAATGTTGATGAGAAGACAAAGAACCAACAGATGAAAGATATTGCTGAAAGAAATTGGTTGGAAGAAAAGTGTAATCAAAAACAAAATGGCAATAACAATAATATACACCAAAGCCAGCATTCGGGGGTACACAGTAAATGTACAAACCATGTAGGAAAACATCCTCATCAAGATAGCGAAAAATATACTCGACCACATCATGGTAGGTGTATACAGCAGCAGCAGCAACAACTACAGCAACAGCAGCAGCAACAACAAAAAAAGCAGCAACAGCAACAACAACAGGAACAACAACAACAACAAGAACAACAACAACAACAGCAGCAGCAGCAACAACAACAAAATGGAAAAGATCAGAAAAGAAATGAAAAACCAGAGTCTCACCAAAGCAAATTTATTTCACCCCAAAAACTAGCACACCCTATCCCAATGCCTTCTCCACCACCACAGCTATCAAAAAAACAGCGCAAGAAAGAAAGACATTCACCCAGAAACTCTTCTGATATGTCGAGTATAGAATGTGAAAGTAGTATTGAAAGCATCAATGGTAAGCAAAAACAACAAAGAAAAAGTCGCACTGCAGATGATGTTGATACTCCTCTGCCAAGTCCACGACAAAGTAAACAACAACGCAGAAAAAGCCCTCCTGTTAACGATGTAAGTGTACCACAACCAAGTCAAAGGCAAAATAAACAACAACACAAAAGCCCTACTGCTGATGATGTGAGTAATCCGCTGCCCAGTCCAAGGCAAAATAAACAGAAAAAAAGCCCTCCTGTTGTTGATGATGTTACTGCTCCGCAGCCAAGTTCAAAACCAAGTAAAAGTAACTCGAAGCAAACGAACCCCACTATGGGTAAAGGACAACCAACTGATACGATTAATACCAATGGTAGTAAAAGAAAAAAGAAGAACAAGAAAGATAAACTGAGTACTTCCATCGGTGAGTATTTAGTTTTGATCTTCTAGTGCTTTGGGATTGTGTTTCTTAACATAATTAAGTGATACTTGAGTAAGATCCAAACACCTTAATTAGCAAATCAACAAGAGACAGTTAACCAGTTTTAGTAATTTGAATGGCACATAAATATATTCAATGAGAAATTGTGACTTTGACTATGATCCAAAATGTCAGCTTTCGGCTATGATCCAAAATGTAAGCTTTTTTGGCTATGAAAGATATTGATGAAATAATAATATTTGAACATTCAAGTGGACAATCAATTAGGTAATCAGGTCTTCGCCCGACAGTTATCAGTATGAGGTATTTAGAATAAACTTGAGAAATCTGGAACTTTCAAGTTCAACCCTCGAATGAGTTAGTTCAGCAAATTTAACCCCCAGCATAGGCCAGACAGTCTTATTCCACTTTCTTCTGCTCTGGTCTAGTGCCCCTTCTTCCTATTTCCTGTTCCTATGTTCTACACCAGATGTTTCTTGGCCTTCCTCTATCTCTTTCCCCTGCAAATTCCCAATGCCTTTCTTCCGCTTATTTGTGGGAGGTATCTACCTTGGAGGAGATGTAAAAGACTGATGACATGTCCTCTCTCAATTTCTTGCCTAATATTTAAAAATAAAATGTGCAAAGTGTATACCTGCTAAATTTCATACAAATTTGATGTCTTGTGAAATCGTAGGTTGTTAATTTCTAATTTGGTAGTAAAGTTTGACCACGCACTTAAGTCTTTCTCTCCTCTGCAGATGAGATCTTCATGCCAAGAGAAAATACTGACAGTGGGGAGTTGGATGACTTTGAAAGAGAAATTGAAGAATTCAAAAAGTAAGTCGTTATCAGTTATAATTACCGTACTCGACTGCATTAGCGTTAAGTGTCCTCAATTCAGAAAATCATGATTTTTTTATGGGTGGGCGCTTACCCGTGCAAAAAGAGAGCAAATGACAGTTTTAGTTCACTGTGTGACAGATTGAGGGGATATTGCGACTTTGGAATGAACCCGAAAATAGAAATGTCCCAAAAGTGATGCATGGGTGCTAACACGTTCGAGTGTGGTACCATGTACATATTTACAACACAAACAACATATATAGCTGCACCGACAAGGTAACAATAAGTATAAAATTAACACAATATAAACTGTGTTACTGTAACTATAAGGTAAAACAGTGCGGCTGCAAGTAGATGTACATGGCAGAAGCTGTGCGGCTGCAAGTAGATGTACATGGCAGAAGCCGTGCGGCTGCAAGTAGATGTACATGGTAGAAGCCGTGCGGCTGCAAGTAGATGTACATGGCAGTAGCAGTGTGGCTGCAAGTAGATGTACATGGCAGAAGCCGTGCGGCTGCAAGTAGATGTACATGGCAGAAGCCGTGCGGCTGCAAGTAGATGTACATGGCAGAAGCCGTGCGGCTGCAAGTAGATGTACATGGTAGAAGCCGTGCGGCTGCAAGTAGATGTACATGGTAAAGCAGTGTGGCTGCAAGTAGATGTACATGGCAGAGGCAGTATAGCTGCAAGTAGATGTACATGGCAGAGGCAGTATACTGCAAAGTAGATGTACATGGCAGAAGCCGTGCGGCTGCAAGTAGATGTACATGGTAGAAGCCGTGTGGCTGCAAGTAGATGTACATGGCAGAAGCCGTGTGGCTGCAAGTAGATGTACATGGCAGTAGCAGTGTGGCTGCAAGTAGATGTACATGGCAGAGGCAGTATAGCTGCAAGTAGATGTACATGGCAGAGGCAGTATAGCTGCAAGTAGATGTACATGGCAGAAGCCGTGTGGCTGCAAGTAGATGTACATGGCAGTAGCAGTGTGGCTGCAAGTAGATGTACATGGCAGAGACAGTATGGCTGCAAGTAGATGTACATGGCAGAGGCAGTATAGCTGCAAGTAGATGTACATGGTAGAAGCTGCAAGTAGATGTACATGGCAGTAGCAGTGTGGCTGCAAGTAGATGTACATGGCAGAGACAGTATAGCTGCAAGTAGATGTTCATGGTAGAAGCAGTGTGGCTGCAAGTAGATGTACATGGCAGAGGCAGTATGGCTGCAAGTAGATGTACATGGCAGAGGCAGTATAGCTGCAAGTAGATGTACATGGTAGAAGCTGCAAGTAGATGTACATGGCAGAGGCAGTATAGCTGCAAGTAGATGTACATGGCAGAGGCAGTATAGCTGCAAGTAGATGTACATGGCAGTAGCAGTGTGGCTGCAAGTAGATGTACATGGCAGAGGCAGTATGGCTGCAAGTAGATGTACATGGCAGAGGCAGTATAGCTGCAAGTAGATGTACATGGTAGAAGCTGCAAGTAGATGTACATGGCAGTAGCAGTGTGGCTGCAAGTAGATGTACATGGCAGAGACAGTATAGCTGCAAGTAGATGTACATGGTAGAAGCTGCAAGTAGATGTACATGGCAGTAGCAGTGTGGCTGCAAGTAGATGTACATGGCAGAGGCAGTATGGCTGCAAGTAGATGTACATGGCAGAGGCAGTATAGCTGCAAGTAGATGTACATGGCAGAGGCAGTATAGCTGCAAGTAGATGTACATGGCAGAAGCCGTGCGGCTGCAAGTAGATGTACATGGTAGAAGCTGCAAGTAGATGTACATGGCAGTAGCAGTGTGGCTGCAAGTAGATGTACATGGCAGTAGCAGTGTGGCTGCAAGTAGATGTACATGGCAGAGGCAGTATGGCTGCAAGTAGATGTACATGGCAGAGGCAGTATAGCTGCAAGTAGATGTACATGGTAGAAGCCGTGCGGCTGCAAGTAGATGTACATGGCAGTAGCAGTGTGGCTGCAAGTAGATGTACATGGCAGAGGCAGTATAGCTGCAAGTAGATGTACATGGCAGAGGCAGTATAGCTGCAAGTAGATGTACATGGTAGAAGCTGCAAGTAGATGTACATGGCAGTAGCAGTGTGGCTGCAAGTAGATGTACATGGCAGAGGCAGTATGGCTGCAAGTAGATGTACATGGCAGAGGCAGTATAGCTGCAAGTAGATGTACATGGTAGAAGCTGCAAGTAGATGTACATGGCAGTAGCAGTGTGGCTGCAAGTAGATGTACATGGCAGAGGCAGTATGGCTGCAAGTAGATGTACATGGCAGAGGCAGTATGGCTGCAAGTAGATGTACATGGCAGAGGCAGTATAGCTGCAAGTAGATGTACATGGTAGAAGCTGCAAGTAGATGTACATGGCAGTAGCAGTGTGGCTGCAAGTAGATGTACATGGCAGAGGCAGTATAGCTGCAAGTAGATGTACATGGCAGAAGCTGCAAGTAGATGTACATGGCAGTAGCAGTGTGGCTGCAAGTAGATGTACATGGCAGAGGCAGTATGGCTGCAAGTAGATGTACATGGCAGAGACAGTATAGCTGCAAGTAGATGTACATGGTAGAAGCTGCAAGTAGATGTACATGGCAGTAGCAGTGTGGCTGCAAGTAGATGTACATGGCAGAGGCAGTATGGCTGCAAGTAGATGTACATGGCAGAGGCAGTATAGCTGCAAGTAGATGTACATGGTAGAAGCTGCAAGTAGATGTACATGGCAGTAGCAGTGTGGCTGCAAGTAGATGTACATGGCAGAGGCAGTATAGCTGCAAGTAGATGTACATGGTAGAAGCTGCAAGTAGATGTACATGGCAGTAGCAGTGTGGCTGCAAGTAGATGTACATGGCAGAGGCAGTATAGCTGCAAGTAGATGTACATGGCAGAGGCAGTATAGCTGCAAGTAGATGTACATGGCAGTAGCAGTGTGGCTGCAAGTAGATGTACATGGCAGAGGCAGTATGGCTGCAAGTAGATGTACATGGCAGAGGCAGTATAGCTGCAAGTAGATGTACATGGTAGAAGCTGCAAGTAGATGTACATGGCAGTAGCAGTGTGGCTGCAAGTAGATGTACATGGCAGAGGCAGTATAGCTGCAAGTAGATGTACATGGCAGAGGCAGTATAGCTGCAAGTAGATGTACATGGCAGTAGCAGTGTGGCTGCAAGTAGATGTACATGGCAGAGGCAGTATGGCTGCAAGTAGATGTACATGGCAGAGGCAGTATAGCTGCAAGTAGATGTACATGGCAGTAGCAGTGTGGCTGCAAGTAGATGTACATGGCAGAGGCAGTATGGCTGCAAGTAGATGTACATGGCAGAGGCAGTATAGCTGCAAGTAGATGTACATGGTAGAAGCTGCAAGTAGATGTACATGGCAGTAGCAGTGTGGCTGCAAGTAGATGTACATGGCAGAGGCAGTATAGCTGCAAGTAGATGTACATGGTAGAAGCTGCAAGTAGATGTACATGGCAGTAGCAGTATGGCTGCAACTAGACGTACATGGCAGAAACTGCAAGTAGATGTACATGGCAGAAGCAGTATGGCTGCAACTAAATGTACATCGCAGAAGCAATATGGCTGCAACTAAATGTACATCGCAGAAGCAGTATGGCTGCAACTAAATGTACCGGTACATCGCAGAAGGAGTATGACTGCAACTTAATGTACATCGCAGAAGCAGTATGGCTGCAACTAAATGTACATCGCAGAAGCAGTATGGCTGCAACTAAATGTACATCGCAGAAGCAGTATGGCTGCAAGTAGATGTACATCGCAGAAGCAGTATGACTGCAACTAGATGTACATGGCAGTAGCTGCAACTAGATGTACATGGCAGTAGCTGCAACTAGATGTACAAGGCAGGAAGCAGCACATTTATGTTTTTGCTCAAAATTCTTTGAATATTTAAATCTGCCTACTGTAACTGAATTTGTCTCCTACTTTTTCCAATTGCAGGTTCTGTATGAATTCACAGCCGCTAAAGCATAAAGAAAAAGTGACGTTCAGCATAAAGGATATAACATTGAAGAAAAATTCTGTGCATGCACACTGAGTATATCAACTTGGGTCCCTTCATGTAAGACTCAGCAAAACTATTTTTAATTCATACAAAACTTGGACAAGGAGCACCAAAAAGTGTCTTGAATATTTCTTTGAATTTTAGCTTAATGTAAGTGAAATGGTCCAATGGTAGTAATCAACTGTGATTTTATGTTAGGTTAGTTTAATTCTGGCTTTGGTCTTACATGAAGGGCTAGTCGGTAAATATATATTGCATAGTTTATACTGTGATGAAAGCTTGAAGGAATATATTTCCTATATTTGAATGAAAATAAAATATATCTTTGCGAAACGCGTGTACTGGTGATGGTATGAACGGATGTGAAATCACTCACATTGGAGGATTTGTAAGTTGTGGCATTATAGCGTATTGTATTAGAAAAGTAGAGTTAGTTTGACTGAACTGAGTCGTTTACGTTAGTTTTGAAATACCGTTATTACGCATGGTATTGCTCATTACAAGTCAATACCCCGGTAATTATTGAGCTGTTCTTTTTAAACTTTTCTGCTGTGTTGATATGGCATCATACTCTACAATGTAGATTACTTGTTTTAATGTTTACATTGATGATATGCAAATAAAATTGTGCTATTTCTTAAGATATAACTGTGTGGGATGCTTACTACACTGTGTAGTTTAGTCGCTTCTAAATCCGTTCTCTGACAAAGTTTGAAAATGGTAACTTATTATTTCATTTCTATGCATTTGCACCTGTAAGCCTTGACCAAATACACCATACATTGTGTCGTACCTTTGCACATGTATTTGTGTTGTGATCATATTCAAGATGGCTGAATGGCATTCACTTTGGAGCAGTATTATCTACTATATTTTATTAGTATTTATGATGTAGTATGTGCTATGTACCAAAAGCAACAATTATATATACTAGTAGGTATATTCGGCTGTGATCAAATTTTCAGCAGCTTTGGGCATCAACAAGACCATTGAATCTCGCGCAAACATAGAACATTGCATACTTCCTAGGATAGTTATGATGAGTGTGTTCTAAAGCAGGATTTGGTGCATGTCTGAAATTTAGGTATTTCAGGAAGAAAAAAAAATCAGTCTGGTTCTAACTCGCGAATTTCGTAACTGCTGATGTCAATTCAGTGCATATTAACACATAATACAGCTTGGAAGCTAAATATGCATTTCTGCCATTTTAGATCAAACTTTAGACTAACATTATATATTGACAAGTTCTGAGTTGGTAGCTGAACGATTTCTGCTTTCTCTATTGCACAAACTCATCTAAATGGCTTGTTTTACTTCTACAGAAAAACGGACATATTCCCTGATGTTACCGATAGTTTATATTTAGATTGGTTACACTAGGCATTCTCAAGAATTCAAACAAAATGTTGAAATGTAATATTTTCCCCAAACATTACATTTATATCAGAATTTTCTCAAATACTCGTGTATAATGCAAAAAATTGCCTGTCTTCATAAACAAAAAATTAAAAGTACAATATCTGCCCAGAGTAAATTTTGTTTCATTGCTCTGCAAGTGAAATTCCCAAAGGTGTCCACTGGCAAGTTTGATATGGATGTCAGTCTATAGTCAAGAATATAGCAGTCTAGTGCAACACAAAACACTTATAAAGTAAGACAATTGATGTATGCTACCCACTCATAAGACTGGATGAAACACAGTTGAACTGTGCATACAGAAAAATGCTGCCTATTGGATTTTTAGACTTGTTCTAAATTTGACAACTGTTTCGTGGTTGATTTTGTCTCTGATATTCAGAAGCAAAATATGGTAACTTAGATAAATTGTCAAAATAAGTCTTATTTTAAAAAATGGTACATGTATACATTAAATTAAAAAAATTTTCTTTCTCCGCATTTTCTGTTTTAATTCTGCAGTGAAGTATATAAATACTTAATGTAATACTGCAAATTACTGCATGCTGTAACTTTAATAGTGTTACGATAACAAATGTATAATATGAGGTTTTTATGACAGACACGCAGCGTTACTGTGACAGATGTATAATACCGGTACATTTTATTTCAAAAACAATGTTTAGAAATACAAACTGGTAAATACCTGTGATGAATAATGTGTGTAACAATAGACTTTCAAACCAATAAAGTAGTATTAGATAATATATACTATATCATAAAGTAATATGGTAATTACCAGATAGATTGTACCAAGTACATTTCAATTTATTTTAATATTTCATTACAATCGGCTTTTAAGTACAGTAGTCACTACAGTATACAGACAGAGGACACTGTTTAAAATTACAGAAAATGCAGATCCTGTCCTCACGATTGTCGTGTAGATTCCTGTAAATTGATTGCATATGCTTTGTGTTATCCTGTTGGGTCAATATTAAAGTTGTCAAACTGTGCATAATTGTGAGCGAGTGTACCTATCGCAGCCCATCCTTTGGATGATCCAACTTCTATGTTAACATCAAACAACTTTTTACCATTCAGATGTGCAATGACTTTAGAATCCTGGGTAAAGAAAAGCGCAACAGTAAACTAAAACAAGGATCAGAAAATGCATGTTTCTAGTCGTCACATGCATCGTCATGTTTGTTAAGATTATTTCTGAATTTATTCAGTTCAATCATAATGAAGCACAAATTTTGGAATAAAAATAGAAACCTTACATGCCTTGGTTTTAGCAAACAAATTGGTCTGACCAAATACAGTATCAGTAAATGGCAACGAGAAGTTGGCTATGCACATTTTTTGTAAATATGTATTTGTAAATGAATTTATTTTGTTTCAGTCATATATGATTTATATTGACCGCACAGCCGAGGATAAAGATACAACTATAACTATATACACTTTCTGTTTACACCAACAACAACAAAATCCAAAGTATGCAAACTCAAACTAACCTTCAAAGCGTGCATTTGAAAGCATTATTTAAAGGGAAACCGCTCAATCCCATGGATTGCACCATGTGCTCATGGGTAATTAACTCCATCTCTGTCCACTAAGTAAATGAATGCTTATTATGCTCGCACACTCAAACTGTGATTGACACGCATTTTGCATACATTAGCCGCCATTTTAAACTCACAATTGTTACTGGTCGCGGCATGTTTCAACCGAAAATAACAACTTTTATACATCAAAAGCCCAACCAGACGAGTGTAATCACTAGAGTTCATATTCATACCCTCGTAGAAATGTATTTGGAATCACAGCTTGATCTCTAAACATTGTAAAAGGCACATTTCTCAGAGCACCCGCCACGATTTGATCTACTTGGTTCGGATTAGCAGACTAATTGCAGTGGCCATCTTGCCCCAATTTATAGTATCGGTTCCCCTTTAAGATAAGAAACATTAACTGCCAAATACATATAGTGCTGGTATTAAATAATCTTGGCACAAACAAAAATTAAAACTGCATCACGCCATAATTTTTCTCTACAACGAGAAACAAAACCTTTTTTTTTTATATATATATATATATATATATATATATATATATATATATATATATATATATATTTATATAGCTCGCCACTAGATTACCTTTACATAAAGAGATGCCCGGTACCATTTCTGTGCCTGCATTTCACATGTTCCACTCTTCATTTTATCCCAGCGCTCTAGAAATGAAAGATTAATATGAAATGTACATTTCTAAGGTCATGGAATCATCAAAATCGCCAGCAGTGAACATGTGATCCCTTAAGATAGTTTCCTATCATTATAAAAGTACTCTGAAATCCAGCAAGAGGGGTTAGGTTTTACTGTAATGTTTAAAATTTTGAAATAAAAATACAGGGTCATCAAACTAAGTTTTCCGCAAAACGACCTAAAAATTTAATCAAATATGCTTTTGTTTTGAATAGTTTACCAGTTTGAATAGTTTTGAATACTCGGTAGTTTAGTTTTCGGTGAGCTGTTATGAGGGTTACGTACGGCTGTCTTAAAAAATTGGAGAATTTTAAATATATTAGTATCCATGCAATAATGTGTTTACATAGAATCCTATGGAAAATGTTCCAAAATGGCCGCCTTTTAAATTATTTTGCGAATGTTTTCTTGTACACACATCCTTCTTTCACTGTGAAAACCTTTAATATTAATGACATGCATGTATGTTAATCATCACACAACAATCTTTGAATAATTTATTGTAATAAATTTTGTTCATGTTTTAATGGTAGCAAACTATGTAAAGTAATAACACTCATTTTCATATCAAAATTCCTACCATATTTGATGAGGATGCTAGAATTTGAAATGAAATTGCTCAAGTCGAAACAAACATCACTGAAAATGTTCCTACAAATATTGAAGTGTTGCGTAAGAGATTGATAGAGAGAATTTTAGAGAGATAGAGTTTATTTCAGAGCTGACTGTGAATGGCAACTTACCATGATCTGTAGTGAGTTCATATTTACCGGGTGACAGCCATAGAAATACTCCCCTGGCATTTCTCATACTACACCCCGCAGAACTAACCCTCGACGCCAGTAACACTCCTCCATTCTTGTCTTCTAAGTAAATATCAGAGGAAACATTAACATTGGTCCTGGAATAGAAGAAATTACACAAATTAACAAAAAAATGTGAAACACAATTTCGAGGTAAAGTAGTTGAATTAAAAAGCATGGGTGTCATTTTTTGGCAAAAAACTTCATTTTTGAGTTAAAAAGTGCCCTCAACAGTGATCTTTTAAGGTACAGTTTCAACTGG